ATAAAAATAAGCAACCTCAGAATAAAAAAGTACAAGAAACCGCAACCCGCGGCTCTCAAAAAATTAAAGCGGATTTGGAAAGCCCGATCACGCTTATTATAAGCGGATTTGACAACCAACGGTTTGTTTGTTTTTGAATTTCGCGCAAAGCTACACGAGGGCTATCTGCGCTAGCCGTCCCTAATTTAGCAGTGTAAGACTAGAGGGAAGGCAGTTAGTCATTACCACCCACCGCCAACTCTTGGGCTACTCTTTTACCAACGAATAGTGGGATTGACCGTCACATTATAACGCTCCCACGGCTGAAAGGGCGAGCATGTTTGGTGTGACGGGGATTCGAACCAGCGGCCCTCAAATTGCGAGTCGAGCGCCCTAACCACCTGGCCATGCCGGGCCTAACAACCAACGGAGCTGTTTGTTTTTCATAATTTTCGTGAAAAAATATACAAGGGCTATCTAGGCATAGCAATCCATAATTTTGAATTGATAGTCCAGAGGCAAAGCAATTAGTCAACAGCACCAACCGCCATAGGCATAATAGGAGTGATATCCCCCCCCCCACCTCATCCACATCAGGAAAATCAAGTTTGTCGTAGCGCTTTCGCCAAATTATGTTTAACGATTTATTGAAATTGTAATTATGCTAACGCAAATTTGAGCAATTGTTCCAAGAATAATAGAAATAATTATACAAAAAATAACGTATTATTGTGATGTTTTTAGTTAGTTTGATTGTTGCATTTTTTTATTACACCGTTTATTCAAAAACGCCATTCTCAGAAAATACGTCAAATCTAGTAAGTAAAATTAACACTAATTTCTGACTTCATTGCTGTTAAGCAGCATAGAACGAGAAGTTATTAATGAAGTATTGATCAATGACTTTGCAAAATATTGTTACCTCTCCGTTTGTTAATTAACTTCCCGTAACTTCGTTCCGGCGAAACTTTAGCGACACAAGTCCTTACTTAATAAAACTGGTTTATTCTTTCCGAATACAATTTTACGATACACTTATTTTCAACAGTCACTCTATAACAAACGCTATATCAACGAACGTCAACAATACTTCTGACTGCAGTTCAATTACTCACTACCTACACACACACATTCTTCCCCGTCACGTTGTCACC